GGAACAACATGGATCATTAATGTGTGTAGTGTTTATCACAACCTTTATATACCAAGAGGTTAGAACGTCAGTCAAAATGGATTACTGGCTCTTTGCATCTTGATTTCTAGGGCTGATCTGAATATGACATGTCAAAACCATGAACATTTGTCAATAATAAATTTGCAGGCTTACTGTTTCCTCTAACCACTCAGTGTTTCCTTTTGCCATATTTTGAATTTTACATGTATCAAAAGCTTCACAAGGCCAACAGAAGGGCATTTGTTAGTGAATTTATTTGCAAATATGCTTATTTCACAAATTAATGTATTTGGAATGAATGTATTCACAATTAATGGAATTGTGTCTACTACAGTGATGATACGGATGATCACAAATGTAAGCCTGAATTGTTAATGTGAATTTTGGATTAATATTTGTATCAGCTCTAGTCATCTTTTTATGCTGGTGCCTTAAATGTTTCAAGAGAACATTCTGCTCTCTAAATAATGAATACCAATCCCACATCTGTGTTTAATTAGTACTTTTGCACCATTCATTTTGAGATACTAACAGAAGTATAAGCACACAACTAATTATTGCCGTTTTGAGTTTTCATGATTTAAATCAGGGATGTTGAGGAACGTGTGGTCCTCAACATGCTATTGGACTACAACTCCTATCATCACTGATTCATTGCCCATGATCTCTGGAGCAGATGAGAGTTAGATCTGAACATCTGGAGGCTCACAGGTTCTCCATCCTTGATTTTAAAAACAGGAGGAAGCTATTAGTGCAGCTTTGATTTATTTTTCCAGCTCCATTATTAGGAAAAGGATCAGTGCAAGTGCTGTTTAAGAATCTGATCCTATGTATGTTTACTCAAGACTTATGATCCACTGAGCCCTAAAGGTCTTTTTTTTAGTTTTTTTAAAATAATTTTTATTAACAGGCCAATCAAATCACATTAATTCCAAATCACATTAATTCCAAATTATACAGCCAAATTAAAAAAAAAATAATTGTTGGGGGTACCCATACTTCAAGCTCCGAAAGGGATCCAAACATCACTCTTGCTGCTGCTTTAATTTCAGAGTTCTGTCCAGTTCTGTCCAGATAGTCTCTTTATTATTTTCCTCATCTTCTTGTTGTTATCATATATTCCTTTCTTTGTGATCTCTGATAATCTTCACAAGCGGGTTGAAAACAAACATATCCTGTGTGGGTTTTACACTCTCCAAGAGCCATATCACATAAAGGACAGACGCCATTTCCTCACCTCCATAGAGAACATTCCCACAGTCTGTCCGTTGATTTGCACAGGCCTGCGAATCTGTATCTCAGGGGGCCCTGCCAGGTCAAATTCACATTCCGATAACCATAAATTCACATTCCAATGACCCTGGTCCTCCTCCTCCTCATCCTCCTGTGGGCAGGCCTGTCTTGACGAAACTCCATTTGTAACTGCGTCACGAAGCTTTCTTTCCATTCCCAATGTTCCCACCAGTCTTCTCTTTGATCAGTAATTCATTTCCACACAGTTCTTAATCTCCTGCTTGTGATTAGTAATTTGCAACGATTCTTTCTCTCTGGGGGGGAGAGTTATTGGGTACTCACATAAGACAAAAAAAGAAAAGTTTTTCCCTCCCCCCCCTTTCTGTCTCACTCCAACATACTGATCTTTTAATGATGAGTCTTCACTTGACTTATTGTCCAGCCCATCGCTCCGCTCACAGAGATCCCATTAATCAGCAATCTTTACTCCTGATCTTCACTTGAAGTATGTGCATTTGCTTCTTTTTCCAATTATATATTTCGAGCTGATGCAAACCAGTGCGCGATTAGAGACAGCGTCAGGGAGAGCCGACCTCACCCGAGGGCTTCGTGCCAAGTGCCCTCACCCCCTTCTTTCGAATCTGGGGGTGAATTATGGACACAGCTGGCAAGGCAGTCCCCCCCATTCCCTTGGGGGGGCAAGGGAAGCTGCATACTCCCATATCAGCCTCTTAATTACCTCGTGTGGGTCGGAGAGATGTTATTGTCGGCCATCTTCCAATGCGCCCCCTGGTGGCCCCCCTAAAGGTCTTATGCCTTGGTAAGTGTTCATAGTGTTGTAGCCTAAATCACATTTAACAGGAAGATATCTCCATTTCACTTTCATTTTGTAGGCCCTTTAATGTTTGCAGTCAGCAGTAAGTTTACATTGGGAGTGTGTCATACTGACATAGTAGAATTTGCTGTTTACCTAGCAGAAAAACATGTCAAGTGTGCCACACTTTAAGTGGGACATAGGCTAATTGGAATCAGTTCAAAGGATGGCAAAGGAAATGGTCCGGAGTGTGAGGTTTATGAGAAAAGGTTGAAGGGACAGGTATGCTTATCTTGGAGAACCTGAGTTGGGGACATGATTGCACATCAAATACTTGAAGGGCCGTCACACAGATGAAGACAAGGATTTGTTCTTTGCTGTCCCAGAGAGCAGGGCTAGATATAATGATCTGAAGTTGAAAAAGTGTAGATTTGTGTTGAACATTACTTATTAACACTAAGAGCAGTTCAGTTGCCTAGAAGGATGGTTCTCTCACTGGGATGCTTTGGATTTGAAGTTCCTGCTTCCTGCATCCATCAGAACCATGGCCTGCACCCCTGTAACTATGATTTGGTGAACCCCTGATAAAGGCAGAGGAGGAGATGATTATATATCCTCTGGCTGTGTCTGTTTACTAACAATCCAGAAACGGAGTTCTGTGACTCTGCATGCACAGAGTGCCTTCCCTTCATCGCTTGACTAATCCTGCAACCTTTTCTTCACACTTTGGGAAATGGCAGGGTACTTATTTATGCTTGTGTTTATTCATTTTCACAACCCTGAAGCAGGGGTCCCACTTGCACAGACAGCCCCACAGACATGCACTGATGCATGTATGGAGCTGAAGTAAAAATGCATAAGTTCCTATACGCACACAAAACTCACTACTCCTGTGAGGAATCATGACAAAAGCAGAAGCGATGTTTATCATGTACTAAATTGCTGTCTGCTATTCCACTGTCAACTGGCTGCAAGTAGTTATCCATACTTGGCTCCAGAATGAGGTTTGTACCTCCATCAAAGCATGTGCAACCCCCATGACTCTGTATATTATGTATGATGTATAGCAATGTCTTAAATTGCTGATGTCTCATACTGAAGTTTACAAGCCACCTATATCACCTATTACATGTCCTCCATTGGGACATCTATTTCCTCCCCCCTCCCCCCACCAGCCAATGCAAAACATTTTAGTATTTTGAAAGCCAGATGTAAGACAGTTAAAGTGTGCTGGTTTATGTAGGGGAGGAGATGCTTTTTAGGCTGTTGAAAAATGTATTGTCTAATATTAATCATTCCAAACCTCTTTGTCAGGGTATATCAGTAGAATTTTTGGAATGGGTATTTGGTTTGCTTTCACCACAATGCTACAAATGAATTGTTCCCTTAATGCAAAACAGCCTGCTTGAGAAAGTACTTCAGTACTGTACTGCAAGGGATTCCAGTGCATTGAGATTGATGCAATCCAGATAGCCTTTGGAGGTGATCCTACTTGCTGGTGATTCAGAGCTCCAATCTCCTCAGAGATCTGACGCAGGCTCCTTTGTGACCTTTATGTACCACTGGAAAAACAGTGACTTGGCAGATATTTCCAGATGCATAGCGATAAAAGCTGAAGTGAACAAAGCTCTAAAATAAACTTTTCTAAAATAATAACAATAGATTAGTACTCTGGTAGTCATTTTCCTCGTGATATTTCAGCGATTCTCTTCCTAGGCCCAGTCAGATTCTATACTTTTGACATTTGCAGAAAATCAAAACCAGAAACTTCATGTGTTTTCTTGACAGTATGCAATGTTTCTTCAACACTGCTCATAGGCTTCTATTAAAAAATGAACCCCTGCCTATCCCAGCCACAACCCCACACACACCCATGCTGCAGTTGGCACCAATGTAAGCTTTTTCCTTGAGACTAATTGCTGCATGGAGAAATATTTGTTGGGCTCAGTACTGGGGTGGAAAGAATTAAACCTCTCTTTCCAGGGGCCCCTGAACCTGTAATCAAAGAAAGGGGGAAACAACCAAAGTAGTGCCTAGTTTTGCACTAACTTCAGCACGTCGGCAGCATCAATTTTGCAATTTTGAGTATCAGCACTGGGGCAGCAGAGATTTTTACTGCTAGCGTAGGCACAAAGGGACACCACCTATCATGTGTCTGAGCCGCAAACCACCATTATGATAACAGCAAGTTTAATCTTGACAGGGATTTTTATCAATGCCTTTGGAGGTTCACTGAAACAGACCTGACCTTCTTTCTTGGTCTAGGCACAACTGTGTGATGCAAGCAGAGAGGTTTTCAGGTGTTTGCAGAAGCAAGTGGGATAGATTGTATAACTCCACTGTGCCTGACAAAACAGGGTACTGCTTCATAAGTTATGGTATAAACTTTTGTTAATGATATCCCAGTTCAGTGGTGTGATATGTCTGAATTACCTGGCAGAAAATTGCAAACAAGAAGCAATTGGTGAGTAGCGGAGATTCACATTTAAGATGTACTAACTAGGAGTTGCCAACGTGGTGCCTTTGGGCACAGTACTGTAGTGCCTTTGAAATAATTTGCTGGTGCTAATGAAGCCTTTAAGCTCACTGTCCTTGATTAGGAAATGGCAATGGCGGTTAACCTTTTATCCCTTTAAAAGATGAATGAGGAAGTAGGAAGTATGATGATCTGTTGGATTTCCTTTCAGCCCTGTGTGTTTTCAAGGTTCAGGTTAATTATATTGGACCAAACTTTTATCAGCTTCTTGGAAAAGCAAATTGTGTGTACCTACACTGTCTGTCCATGTGGTGTGGGGAGACACTGATCTGGAAGAGGAGAAGAAGTGGTCAGGAGGTGCACACCCCATAACACTCACTCAGAAATCCTAATACACCCATAGGCACAACTCCTGTAAAAAAAAAAAAAAAAAAAAAGGATGGCAACTCCTGCATTACACATACTTGAAATCGGCAGAATGTAATTTATTTTATTTTTTGTAATAACCATCATCCCAAGGAAATTGAAGAAAAGGACTGCACACAACAAGGAGCTTTCGTTTTATTTTTTCCAATCAGGAGGAACATTCCCTGCATTTGAATTTCCTTCAAGTTGAAGCAGCAGTTTGTAGCACTTAGGGCTCATCCAGAATTCCTTTTGTGCTGTGCTTTCCAGATACAGTTATGTGCTTTAAAGCTCTGTGTCCAGTGGGTGTTGTTGTTTTTTTCCCCCTGGCTCTTTCTCTGGGAAAACCCACATTTTACCGCCGAATTGGAGCAAATGGTAATCTGTAGAAAACCCAGTTGCTGTTGGCTCTGATTCAGCGGTATAATGTGGGTTTTCACAGGGAAAGCACCAGGTCAAAAAACAAACAAGCAAAACCAATGTTCAGACACAGAAATTTAAAGGCTGGAGCCGGGCCTAGAAATGTGGCACAAGCAGAAGTCTAGATGAGCCCTAATAAGTCATGTTTGCATGCATGCTGCTTCATGTACCTGCTTTAGACCTCAGACTACTGAAGAATCTCACCACAGGTTTAACTTTAGCACATATTCTAGAAACGTCTTGCTGATTATGGATCCATGGGCAAATTCGGTTTAGCCAATGACTTCCTAATTTAATTGTATTGAAGAGTAGTGAAGGCGGCACTCAATGGACTGCCAGCTGACATCAGATTGTGGAAAATGAGTAGCTTTATTCCAGGATTTGAAAATACTGAGCTTTTTGGAATATACAAAGTTTTCGCACCAAAAAGGGGCTGATTCAGAATGCAAAAGCCATTGGTGGAAAGGTCCCCCCATGACCTATAAATACTTGCAAAATATGCTTCAGACTCTATAATTCCTGTTAGATTTTTTTCCTCATCACAAGAATGGTTCATTGGAATTATCACGCCCCCACCCCAAAACCCCAACCCAGCCCAATAATAGTATGTTTGGTTATAAGCTAGGTAATTAATAGTCTTGATACCTATTTGTGTGCCCCATTGATATTCAATGATTTTTTTCAGTGAAGATCCTGTTTCTATGAACAGCACAGTAGCTAACAGGCCAAAAAAATGGCCCTAGCTTTGCTACAAGGTGCTATCCCCAGAACTGTGGCACCAGCGAAAGCTTACTGTGCTGTGTTCATGCTTGTACTCAGACAACTGTACTAGTGTCTTTGTGCAAGGCATTTAACATGTTCCGTAGACCAGTGCAATTATTGGCTAGCTCTGATCTGGAGCCAAAGAATGGTATGGCTAGGGAAAAATCCTCTAAATCAGTCTACCCTTCAAGAGGAAAACAGTGAAAAATTAAATGGTGCACACAGTCCCTTGAACACACCTAAACTTGCTCTTGGAATCCCACTCTATGTTCTAGCAGGCTATAGGGGGAGGTTGGCAGGAAAGTAGGGTATGGACCTCAAGCAACAAGGTGCTGCATCTCTCTTCAGCTACTGTCATGTTAACACTGCAGCTGAGATGAATTTAAAGGCTCAAGGCTACCCATCTGTTTAGGATTTCAGTTAAAAGCGTCTGTACTTCATTATTTCAGCAACATATTCTTATCAGGTACCCAGTTCAAAGTTGTCATCAGAAGCAGCAAAGCAAATAGTCATTTTTCAACGAAAGAGCACTGCTGTAGACACTATTTTACATTTGAACAATTGCTTAAGCGAAAGGCAAAGTACATTCAAGATCTTGTGGGGTTGTTATATGGGGGATTGAACCGTTTGATCATGACAAGATACTTCAGGTCACAACAACAAATTCTCATACAACCACATCAGACATTTAAAAACCTATGCATTTCAAAAGATTTGCCAGTGCGTCTCTGAGAGCAAGTTCTTTAAAACAGAACTTAAAATTTTCAAAACTTTAAATTTTAAAAAATACATTGTTCTAAAATAGCCCACCAGTGCTGATGCAAACTTTCTGTATTTCTACAAAAATAGATGCATAAAGAACTACAAAAACTGCATTCCTGAAGGAGGACTCTAGGTCAAAGCTAGGTCTCTCCTGACAGTCAAGGGTATGCGTTAGTATATAGACAATGGCACACATCTAAGCAAAACACTGTTAAAAGGAGCATAGAGAAGTTAGATTGGAGAAATGCTTCAGCAGGCTCAGATGACAAATGATATACAAAGAAAGGTTTTCGATTTTTTTCTTAATGTCCTGGGACTTTAAAATGACCTTCTGGAGGTAAAGGCTCCATCCAAAAAAACATATGGCTGGTTTGCTCATCATCTGCTTAGTATAATGTTTATTGCCACTGTGAAGAAACAGTAAAAAATAATAATACTGTAGTATCTCCTTCACAAGATGGGAACTCTTTTAACACTGGTTACTGGTAAAATCCATTTTTTGGTACTTCAGAACCATGATGTCTCCTTACTTTTGTCCTGATGTTGAATGCCTATTTTGAAAGGGAAGAGGAAATAAGTTTAAACTGGCATTGTTTGAGTGGCTTAATTTGATCAATCAGTCATCATCTTACATCCCACCTTTCTCTCACCATGGAAACTAAGGCAACATACACGTGGTTCCCAGGTGGTCACCCATCCTGGCATCGCCCATACCTGCTTAGCTTCAGTTGGATGGTGGCCTCAGGTACCATCAGATCATACTCTGGGACAAAAGTTAATTACACCTGTGATAGACTGTACTGCAGTTGACTCCCCGCCCCCCATCCAATTTCAATAAGTAGTACTAGACTCAAAACATATTGATTTAAATCATCTGACATGTTTATTCTGACATAAACATTCATTCATTTTCCCTAGATCAAGGGAAGTAATAGTGCCACTGTATTCTGCTCTGGACAGACCTCACCTGGAGTACTGTGTCCAGTTCTGGGCACCACAGTTCAAGAAGGACACTGACAAACTGGAACGTGTCCAGAGGAGGGCAACCAAAATGGTCAAAGGCCTGGAAACGATGCCTTATGAGGAACGGCTAAGGGAGCTGGGCATGTTTAGCCTGGAGAAGAGGAGGTTAAGGGGTGATATGATAGCCATGTTCAAATATATAAAAGGATGTCACATAGAGGAGGGAGAAAGGTTGTTTTCTGCTGCTCCAGAGAAGCGGACATGGAGCAATGGATCCAAACTACAAGAAAGAAGATTCCACCTAAACATTAGGAAGAACTTCCTGACAGTAAGAGCTGTTCAACAGTGGAATTTGCTACCAAGGAGTGTGGTGGAGTCTCCTTCTTTGGAGGTCTTTAAGCAGAGGCTTGACAACCATATGTCAGGAGTGCTCTGATGGTGTTTCCTGCTTGGCAGGGGGTTGGACTCGATGGCCCTTGTGGTCTCTTCCAACTCTATGATTCTATGGTTTCATTAAGAAATGACATTTATGTGCCTGAGATGCATCATAATTTTCAGTTTAAAGTAGTCTGAAAGAAGAAGAACTGCATGTACATTCATCCCACTTTTGCTTCTGGTACACACATTTGGCAGATTTTTTGCATTATTTCTGAAACCTGCACTGCCTGCTTGACCAGAGATGAGAGTAGGATAAAATCTGGCCAACCGACTGACCATTAGGCTAAGTGAAGTGGCCACCTCAGATCCTAAGAGACAAGGACTGAATAGAGATGCACTGGCCACACATCCTCCAAAGAACCTGCTTTTCTACATGGAATGAAGAGAGGCTTCAACTTGTCTTTCACCTCAAGGAGCAAAATGTATTTGGACAGCCCTAATAAGAGAAGAACCCCATCAGAAATGTGCCTTTCAAACCACTTTTGCCTCCCCGCCCCCCATTATTTTTAGTTGTTACAAACATAAAAACATATAGAAGAATAAAACAGTAAATGAATACAAAATGTAATATAAAAGGCTGCCCAATGCAATAAAACATTGAAAGAGCCAATGAAAAACAAGCAACTTCCTAAATGCATTTAAAAAATAAAAATAGCTTCCCCAAAAACTCTACCAAAAAGATGAATCCACTAACAATCATTGAAAATTTTAAGCAAAGAGACAACTGAAATAGCCAATACAATTATCTGTTCCATCTTAATAAATTAAATATAAATATTTCTGTGATATTATTATGAAAAAATGGGTACCTTTTTGTAATGTTTTGGAACATACAAGTTCCTTGATAATGTCCAACCTTATACTGATCTCAACCTGCTGTAACAATGTTTCTTTATGACCTTTATCTTTGGTCTATTTTGCCTTTTAATAAAATAAGTTATTAAAAACATTTATGTGAAATTAAAGATTATGCTAAAGTTCCTGCACTAAAGGGGGTGGGATGGGAACACTCTTGAAATTACTTACTGTTGAATCATTTCCTTATGCTTTTGTGGAACTGGCCCAGATTAATTTATGTGTAGTTTTGTAATCTTTTAACATCAACAAGGCTATGTAAGGGTATTCATATCTGGTCTGCTGCATCCTCAGTTAATGAATATGTCCTTCTCAGGAGCTAGGAGTAATCTAGCCAGTGATTCTTGAGAGCAAATTCGTAGTCTTAAAAGACACAATTTACTTTTTCCCCTCATTAATGCTCAGTGAGATAGATAGATAGATATAGATAGATAGATAGATAGATAGATAGATAGATAGATAGATAGATAGATGGATGGATGGATAGATGATAGATAGAGATATATGCACGGAATCTTGTCCCTGATAATGTTAGTTTTCATTTTCAATCATTATGGATGTAGGTAAATAGAGATTTTGCTGTATTGATGCAGACTCAAAAGAAAACTTTGCCACTTGTGAATGTTGGGTGTGGGGAGATGAGTCTGGAGCAGCTGCTTCAGTCAGAAATGTGTGTGTGAATTCTCCCTGAGCCCCAGTGTTTATTCAATGGTTACAGATCTTTTGTGTAGACTGTGGAAATCCCTTCCCCCAGGCAGTGTTCCATGAGTGGACATAACATTTCAAAGCTCTCTATGAGTCATCACAATTGCATACAACATCCACATGCAAGCTCTGTTGGGATTAAGTAAGGAGCACTTAAACATTGTATAGCTACCACCAGCCCCAGTCCAATGGGCAGGGGGTGGTAGAACTTTTAGTTCAATGTCTAAAGAGCCACAAGTTCCTCTTCTTCCACCATCTTTCCAGTAAGTAAACTCACAGGAACTTGTCACTGTTTTAAATATGTTGGAAAAGCCTACCCTGAGTTCAAATAAATGCAAGCTAATTGATTAAAATATGGCATGCTATAATTTGGTCATTACCATTTATGTTTGTGTTCAGGTAAACCTGAAGTCAGTACTGCATGAATAATTAAATGTTACACATGCATTTAAGGACTGGATCCATCACTGACGATGCATCCTCAGTTTTGACCCCTGTACCCAAGCTCTGAAACAGAAAAGCTGGACCGGGCCATTAGCATTCTATTCTTATAACAATACTTAAATCAGAGCCATCCCTCACTCACCCCCCATCTCAAAATATTAATTCATTTCCTTCCTACTTTCACTTACCCATGAACAAATTGCAGCCCCTTTCAGGGTTTTTGAGCCTTTCCTTTTTTAAAAAAAATCTTAAAATAAGATTCCTTATTCAGCCTTGGATAGACAATCCAATTGTCTAGACAGCAAGGAATACTGGAATTGCTATCAGATGCACCTTTATGCTGCCTTCTATGACAAGAGTCATAGACAGCTGAAATTTGCTCATAAATACACCTTGCCAAAAGGCAGACCCCATGAAGGGGCTAACAATTGCTCCTAGTCATAGCAGACGATCACTTTACAACCTGGAGCATGAAATTTAATTACTCTTGTGTCATCTGTACAGCTGCAAACATAATTAATGGCCATAAAATTGCCCAGATCTTTTAAGGATTCGGTTGTGCTGTTTTTTCTTAATTTCCCGAGGCAGCAAAAGCAGCGCTGTTTTACTCTCTCCCCAATAAAGGAGAATGTGAGAATGAAGCTTGCTAGGTTGTAGCAGTTAGTACAAGAATGTGAGACAGGGCATTTGCAGTGCTCTGCTCTCTGAAACCCAAATCCAAAGAACCTTCTAAAAGAAACAGACTATCATCTAATCCTATGTGAACGGTACAACTTTTATATATATATGATGTATACTTGTGAGAGCCATCTACTGTACTATTTCCCATATAAACTCTTATATTAAACCTGCAAACAGTAATGTCAGACTTGTATGGAAAAAACCGGGTGGGTTTCCTATCCTTGATGGCAAAAACTGCAGTCTGAGAATTGGAACAACAGTTTTATTTTTAAGTACAGGAAAATCAATTTAAGATGTAGCATTGCTTGCTAAAGTCTGTAGTCTGCTACTCTATATTAACAGGCAAAGGCAAACAAGAATTACACATTATATGTGAGCCTCAATCTTTTGCCCAATCTGCCCTTGGCTTAAGCATCACTTGAACTAGGTACTAACCCAGTAAGTTTAGCTTGAGGTTCTGCCACTTCTCCACACCAGATCTGGGAGAAGTAGAATAAGCAACTTTTTTCAGATCCATGGCTGGCAGGGCTCACTGTAGTTGAATGAGCTATGCAGTTGTATGGGCCAGTTCCATAGAGTCATTTCATGGGACATGTGCCCCTTTTTTCCCAATTCACTTTTCAGGTCAGCAATGACTGCTTTGCCCTTTGATACAGTTGAGTTATACTAGTGTTCTCCACTAGATGTGTAAAAAGACAGGCACAAGTCCTCAAACACTTTGGGAGATGTGCAAGGTTCTTTGGATGCCACCCTCTGGACCTCCCATGGAGGGGGCACATGGAGATGATGATCACAGGATCTGAGGTGGTTTGTGTGAGGAGAGGTGATCCTTGAGCATATTGGGCTCCTGAGATGCAGAAAGCTTTGCAAGTCAAAACCAGCTGCAAACTCACCTGCCACATATCATAACTTGGTGATAACTAAGTAAATGAAATGTCTCAACTCAAAGGCAGTATGATGCTGAATACCAGCTGCTGGGAGACAAACAACAGGATGGGCCTTTACCCCTTCTATCAGTTAGGAGTGATTTAGAGATTACTGCCTACGCCAAGTAAGGCCTTTGATTTAACCGGACTGCTTGGGATCTTCAGGTTTTTTGTGGTAATGACATCTGCCTTGAAGACAAAGATATCTGAATGAAAGTTGGTACACATTCAAGACACGGCTCCAGTGTGACTCTAAATCCATTTTAGTATGGCTGTGTATCATGCTTTATAGAGGATGGCTCTGTTTGAAGGGCTGTCAGAGGACAGTCCTCATGAAGGAGTCCTCTATTTAATGTGTGAGGAATCTCTGGCCCCCCAGAGGTTGCTGAACTACAACTGGGGCTGATGGGAGTTGTAGTTCAGCAACACCAGGAGGGCCAAAGGTTCCCCATTCCTGCTCTATTTGAAGGGCTGTCTGTCTACTCATGTCACATTTAAAGGTAAAGAACCAATAGACTGGTAACTTATTTCTCTTCAACAGTTAGCATCCAAGCAGGAGACTGAGCAGGCAAAATGATCACCTGGCCACTGTCCTTCCCAGATGTATTATATTTCTATTATTTGTATTTATACATAAAACCAGTATAGGTAAAGGTAAATGTGGTGGCGCTGTGGTCTAAACCACTAAGCCTCTTGGGCTTGCTGATCAGAAGGTCAGCAGTTCAAATCCGCACAACGGGATGAGCGCCGATTGCTCTGTTCCAACTTCTGCCAACCTAGCAGTTCAAAAGCATACCAGTGAATGTAGATAAATAGGTACTGCTACAGTGGGAAGGTAAACAGTAATTCCATGCGCTCTGGTTTCCGTCATGGTGTTCCACTGTGCCAGAAGTGGTTTAGTCATGCTGGCCACATGACCCAGAAAGCTGTCTGTGAACAAATGCTGGCTCCCTTGGCCTGAAGCAAGATGAGCCCCATTTGTCACCTTTGACTGGACTTAACTGTCCAGGGGTCCTTTACCCTTTTTTACCCAAATCCAGTAAATGCAAATCTGTATCCTCTTTTTTGGTGATGCATAGCTTCTTTTTTTAGCAATACACAAGTGGCCACTTTAATCTGTTTTCAAGGGGCCATGAAACATAATGCATAAGAGAGAGAATGAATATTGAATTACCACAAGGTAATGTGATATGTATACTTAATATGCAATTCTTTGTGGTTCAAATGCTAGCTAGACCTGCTGGGATGTCTGCAGCAGGGTAATGGATGAGACCAGATGTCATTCCAATGGTACAAAGTATGGAGCTCACAGGAAAAAACTTTTGTCTTCCAATTCAGAGAGCATCTCAAAGTGCTGAAATAAGATTGTATAGGTGCGGCAGAGCCGCATCTATAAAAATAATTTGAGAAAAAGTGTTTTGTGCTTGGAATAAATTTATTTGGAAGACTGCCCTGTAGAATGACAGCTTTCTTTTATGCTGGGTTGTTTTGGGGAGGTTTTATACATAACCTTTGGGTTGGAAAACACTTTATGATCTCTTGGGTCCACATTGAGTGAATTCAGAACATCTCATTCTCGAACAGGATTGAGTAAGAAACTAGATTCATTGCAGGCTTACAGAAAGAAGAATCCTAAGTTTGTTTAATTTGAAAAAAGAAACAAGGAAGGGTATGTAGAACTGCAAAACAAGAAAGCCAGTATCTGGTTCCTACTGATTTTATATAATAACAGGATGTTTGTGGTTAAATTTTTGCTACAAACAATAGCGCTCTGAATCTTGGGATTGTTTGCCTATATTAAGTGTGTTATATGTTTTGTCTGCTTTATGATTTCAGTGGGAGTAAAGAACTAATTCTTCAAGATCATCATTGCAAATCTTAGCATTCTTGCAACTTCAACCCTTTCTAACTACATCAGGGATTCATATCTAACAGATCAGGTGAAAGAATCAGGGTGGGGAGCTTGTGACCCCCTCAGTTGGTCTTGGACTATAACTCACCATGGTGGTTGATGGGAGATGGGAGAAGGAGACCCAGCAACATCTGCAGTGCCACAGTCCCCCCCCCTCCCTGAATTAGTGGAGGTCTTGAGAATTTGCTTGGTTACGACATATGTTTCCTAAAATATGAACCACGTAAAAGAGAAAGCTGAAGCTTACCTGTGTCAAACCCAAAAGTTGGCACAATGTCAACTGTTCCATGAAAGGCTCCTGCCCATGCTGAGGTAGCACTGGTGACAGCAGTAGGATCTGTCTTTGTTGCATCACACTGTGGTGGCGGAATCTTGCCTGCGCAAACTGAAGGCATCAGCAAAGATCTGTACCGTGGGTCAAGGTGCGAAGTCGGGTGGTGATGATGATGCATGTGTGCATGAGGATGGTGGCGGTGCATGTATACATCATGCATGTGTCCATATGAAGGGCTCACCTGAGATGCTAATGGATAATGCCAAGATTCTGGCATACTCGGCGGAGGAGGTGGAGCAGTCTGATGCAGAGTATGTCCTGGCCAGCTGCTGGGATCTGCTGCTGAGAAGGTGCCTGGTGCAGTAACAGGAAAGTCATGATGAACTCCACTTAAGCATGGTGGAGGTGGAGTTTGATAAGAACTGGTCCAAAACGAAGCTGGGAAACCACTCCTCTGGCTTGCAATTGTTGCATTCTCTTTTAAAAGAAACATCAAAATGATGATAAATTCTTCCATGGATCTTGAATAATAAACAGCTTTGCTAACATGAATACAGAAACGAACGTAAGTTCCATAGACAACTATTTTAAAATGTTGATGAAAGCACAAGTAACTGGACCCTGCCAGAAACCCTTCTTCATGTGCCTTCTCAATCTGAAGCTTGGAGGACAACTATGAAAAAGAAAGCCTTTTTGGTGGTGGCCCCCTGACTATGGAATCCTCTCCCTAGGGAAGCTCACATGGTTAAAACTTTTATGTTCTTCCAGGCCTTTTTAAGATATATATTTAATTCACAGTGGCAGTCTTAATATATGCATTTAAGGGCTATTTAAGTTTTTTTGCTATACAGCAGTTTGTTGTTTTGGTTTCATTGCGCTGCTTTTGTATTTGGGTTTCTGTGTTGTTCGTCTCTTAAGTTTATTGTGGATTTATTGTGTATGGTTTTTTTCTATTTTATTAAAATTCTTTTTAGACCCCAGGGATCACCAAAAAGGGCGTAAGTAACTGGCCACTTTAGTGTCTAATCAGCAAAATTTTAAATGTGTTTGGAAATATAACAAAACAGCTGATTTTAGACCTAAGCAGATTGCAATTCAAGCACAGCTCAAGTCCAATGCCATTATATTATGAAATCACATACTTTAAATCCCATCTTTCTAAGGAGTGGTAAATGATTCTACTATGTAATGATAGTGCTGGCAGAGATACTACTAGTATTCTTGCCCAAACCTTGATTTGAAGTAGAAAGGAAAATGCTTTGGGGGAAATAAGGGAAGCTAGAGATGTTGCCATGGAAGAATATGCCTATTGCTGATGGTGAGGAAATAAAGTCACAGAAATATCACAAAAATAAGAACATTTCAGTGGGGTGTATATCTATCTATCTATCTGTCTATCTATCTGGCAGTTGCAAAGGTTTGTTTGTTTTATTAAGCTAAAGAGCTTTCATATCTAATAAATTACAATTTTCAATGGATTTCTTAATTGACCTTTTATTTTTTATTTTTTATTATAAGACTTCAATTTTAATAAAAGTTAATCAACTGTACATCAAAAAAATATACATGTGCCCCACTGAAGCCCTTACTGTATGTATCCCAGTAGAGAGCTGTGCAGGGACCAACTTAAGCATTCTACTCAGAACCTATCACACCTGAGTTCAATAGAACTCCAAGATGCCCTGAAAAAAACCTTCTCTAGCCCAGTGTACTTTCTGATGAGGATGGCTCAGCAGAAAATGAAGGCTTTGGAAGGAGAACCGCAGAAAGGGAAGCAACACAGTCAAATCCATTTCTCCCCTCCTTCAGGAACTCTGGAGACCTTAAGTTTGCCTTCGCATATAACCAATGGGAAATGGTGTTCAGTGTCCAAGAGATAAAAGTGCACTCCTCTGTTCTGTGCTAAATGTGCATGGAGAATGTTAGGTCTGTAGAGCTTTAAAATAACATTCTTGAATATTTGTGAAATGTCATCATGCTTCCACACCCAATTCATAAACATTTCACCTCTTGCACAACCAAATTCTTGGAGACAACTTCTTAATCTCTTTTGGTTGTTGTTTTTGAACAAAAAACCTCAGAAAAAACAGTTTTGACACTCCTTATCTGGTGAGGTGATCTCTTGGCATTTTTACATGTATATTTTTTAAAAAATTTCTCAGAAATCATCTCCTCTCTGGTGAGAGTCACCTGAGAATTACATTAGGATGGCTAGTTAAGATGCTAAAGCAGAGGTGGCAGTAGGTAAAGCTGCATCTATCAGTAGATCTCTATGTAACTGCAGTAAATCAGAATTGTTAAGCAGTAGCAGCAACAAAATGGCACACTCATTGTACTGCCAATATGAAAAATATGGGGTAGCTAGGAGCAGAGTTTTGTATGGAAGGATGGTGAGTTCTGTTCAGTTCCTTTACTCAGTAGCAGAAAACATGGCCAGGCTGCATTGCTTATCTGACATCTCTTCTGGACAGCGGCTACGAAAGATGGCGGAAAAACTGAGGTTTTTACACAGAGTCTGGATGACCATCTTTCAGGAACTCTTTATTTGCGATTCCTGCATTGCATGGGGCTGGACTAGATGACCCTTGGTGTCCCCTTTCAACTCAACAATTCTGTGCTGTGTACTGAGATGAGAAGGGGTGAGGCAGCAGAGAGATTGGCACAGCGCAAACACACCAGCAGGAACAGCAGATTAGCTCCTCTGGCACATCTGTACCCTGCCAACCTCACTCCTGCTCTCCAGCCCCAGATGCAGCAGTGTCTTGGCTGGGTGGGGCGAGGCCAGGTATGCAGTGTAGCCCCATCATGCCATCCGCTATTGCCTATTCTCATATTATCTGTCACTAAGGTCAGAATTCTTCCATTCTAAGCATAAAGAACTTAAGGATGGATCATGGGGTTTTAGTAAACAAAAAACAAACAAACCCCTAAGTGGATTCAATATGCCTGCAGTCTGCCCACACTTGTGCTAAAGATAGCCAGAAGAGCTCAATTCCTTCTCAAAGCTATTCGACAATGTAATAGTTCAGCTGTAAATGCAGGACACAATCATTTCAGGCATTAAGTGTTCATATGTCCTTTGATTTCGGTTTTGAGATTTCAATAAAGTTCTTAACTGACTTGATAATATTGATACTGTTTATACCCATTTTGGTAGTATTCAGTTGCTTGGAGAAAACCAAATCCATCCCAACTATCACGCCCATTTCATTTTCCAGTTTTCATTAATTCTGTAATACTAAAGTCATGATGCTTATCCACCCACCAAACTATATAGCATGATGATAAGATAGCAATTCCTGCATTGTCACACTATAATATCTTGCAAGAAAGTGACATTTTAAAGGTGTGAATCTTAAAGAATTTTTCACATAGCAACCTCCCATTCTCTGAGACTAATTCTGTAACGTGAGAGTCTCACTCAACGCAACACATAAAATCCACAAGCATAGGATCTCCCTGTAGGTTTTATTATTACCAGTTGGGAGCCCCATATTTCTGCTCTGACAATTTGAAAAGTGGAGCTGGACAAAGGGAGTCAGTTAACATGTCTGGTACCTGCATGGTTTCCCCATTGCTCTAGTTACAGTTGGGAGGGGCAATTCAGAAAGGTAAAATAGCATCGGAGAAGCAGGTTTTGCACTCTCTCCAAGTACTATTTCTCTAGTTATCAAAGCCACTGCACGAGGCTGCTAGTTAAGAAAAAGAACAGAATAAAATTCTAGTTACAGATTTCCTGCATCATATCACTTTTCATGGTAAAAGGTAGGAGCTGGTTTCAACCAGACAGTTCCACTAGTGGGAGCCAATGCAAGACGTCAGAATAGCATTCAGGAGGAGAGTGCAAAGGGGTTCTCCCCCCCCCATTGGCTCTAGAAGGGTTAGGACAGGCATGTCCAAAGTCTGTTAATTTGGCCCCCTGGCCAGTTTTATCAGGCCCCTGTGGCAGTTCATTTATTGGGATCAAATCCTTAAAAAAGCTCAACAAGTTCAATTCTTTAAAAAAGCTCAATAACTTTGGTCAGCCCTCACGCATGTTCACTTCATCAAATCCGGCCCTCTTTGAAAAAAGTTTGGGCACCCCTGGGTTAGGAGAATCGCAATAACAGCATGCAGGAGGAGAGGGGAGATTGTTCCACTAGTGTAAGGAAAAACGCTTACACTAGTGGAACAATCATAATAGTGTGATGTTGAATTCCTCTCCAAATTTTCCCCAGGAATTTCCAAATTTTGCATGTGGCTAATCAGACTGCATGGGTAACACTGGTTTTGCAGGTCAGATTTTTGTGTATCTGTGTCCTGCCGTCCAGGTGTTGAATGGCAACCTAATCTTTAAAAAGAATGTATACCTGAAGGCGTATATAAAACCCAACTTGTGAGCTCACAAAACCAAAGGAATAAAGTACAGTAAATGAGATGTAACCAAGTTTTGCTTATAAACCTTACCTCTCCATAGCCCTGTCTTGCTTTTTGAAATGGCAGTCTCTGGACTGAAGCGACTAGCTTGGTTTAAAGCTCTTGAGAAGTGTTCATCCACTACTGACCCAATATCACCCTGAAAGTAAGTGAAAAGGACGCAGCGAGAGTTAAGGTACTCCATATCAGTAGGCTGGTCTTTCTCATCTTCCTCTTGTTTATTAGGAAGGGTCGCTTCCAGAGATTCCTGCATCTTGCTGTATACAGCTAGCTTACTCTGGTATAAGGGGGGAAAAACAGAAAGAAAGAGAGTAAGATAACTTCAAGTACAGACCACAGAAACAAACATGCATTTAACATATGGCAATGGAGATACATTTTATATTATTACAGTGGTACCTCAGGTTACATACGCTTCAGGTTACAGACTCCGCTAACCCAGAAATAGTGCTTCAGGTTAAGAACTTTGCTTCAGGATGAGAACAGAAATCGTGCTCTGGCGGCACGGCGGCAGCAGGAGGCCCCATTAGCTAAAGTGGTGCTTCAGGTTAAGAACGCACCTCCAGAACGAATTAAGTATTTAACCCGAGGTACCACTGTATACATTTACTTGTAGCCAGCCCTATCTATTCTGTAAGTGCCTGCCACAGAGAATGGCCATTCATATTGTGTCATATAGGGATGAAGATAAGTAGAAATGCAGACCAAATGAAATTAACTGACCTAACAAACACCACCAAGATTAATGCACAAATCAAAACATAACCCCTTCCATTATTCAGTGGCCAGTGAGGCATCCTCCAGATATTCATAGAATCATAAACTGTCAGGTTAGAAGGCACCCTTGGGGTCATCTAATCCAAACCCCTGCAATGCAGGAATCTCAATATGTTTTTGAGCACAACTCCCATAATTCCTCAGCAATGGCTGTTCTGGCCAAACTAATGGGAGTTGTAGTCTAACTAAAACTTGATGGTTCAGCATTGACTATGGTGGATTTTACAAACAGTCATGCTGGTTCTTGTTTTAAATGACTCAAGTGGCTCAAGTTCATGCTGTTATGGTGCAGGCCTATGCACACCTATCTGGCAGCTTTGCATTGAACTCAGCAGGAATTCCTCGTGATAACCATGCTTTTAATGGTATCGCACTGTTCCTCAATCAGCCATGTGATGAATTATTACTCTTGTTCAAGTGATGGATTTTCCCAACCCTAACTTATGAGCGGAAAACGTTATAAAAAATTCCAGCTTTATAATTCAGTTTTAGGCATTCTTCACTATCCTCCACTTGTCATAGCTTTCCTAGGCTTAGTTATCATTTGTGGAGGAGGAGGATGCTACACATAGATGTGGGTAGCAGAATCGAGCCATTTGTGAGCGGGGAGAGGGGGAGTCTAAGCATTGCCAAAGATACAAAACAAATCTGTGCTCTTCCCTCATTCAAGCAAATGCTGCATTTTTTTACATAACACCAACTTATAAAAACATTGCATATAAAAGATGATTAAATGTGATGAGATTGCTGTGAGATAAACAAACCCTTTTAAAGTTCATAAGGGGGGAAAAAAGAAACATAATTAAAACCAATGTTGGATGATGAAAGCCTCTGCGTATCTCTCCACAATTTTTCTGTCAAATCAAACGAAAATGTCAAAATAAATTAAGTGTGAAGATCAATTTTACATGGAACATATTTTTCAGATGTTCCATGTTACGAATGTTTTCCAAGAAGCCCAGATCCACACCCCTCTGGCAGTGAGCATCCCTTTGTGCCCAGCATGGGGGAGAGAAGGGAACGGGTGTGATTGTTGGCTGCATGGCCAGTGGCTGTTCATCTTAGGGTACAATTGCCAGCCATGCCACCTGCTATGGAGGCCTCAGCATTTGGCTGACTTGCTCATGCAGAGCTAGTTGGCTGGGGGACCAGGATACATACACCAAAGTGGAGGCTCCTTTGCTTTGGTCTCCACCTGAGGAATAAACTCGAGGATTCTTGTCTTACCTCCTCTCCCACTCTGCTATCATATGTCAATTATCCAGGGTTATTAGTTCCCCTTTCTCATATGAACTTGTTGTGCATATATTTTGGTTCATGGCAGTTTGTGCTTTTGTTTCTTAACCGTTACAACTGGCACTTAAGCATTAGACACAGACCATAGTTTGGGAAGTAAGGGGCTTCCAGGAACTGGCAGACGGATGAACCCCCCTCCTTGGTGGTGGCAGGCAGCAGGAATGGCTCACATGGTATGTTTGTTCTAAGTCACTCCATCCCCTCCCCCAGTAATTTCCACGTTATTTGCAGAAGGAGTTGTCATTAGCATCAGATTGTCCCTGCTTGCATTACACCATCCTCAAGCACGCTGCAATCAAAAAGGTTGCAGGTTTTTACCTCAGCTCTCTGTGGGCTTATTATCCACACTTACCTTTCATCCACTGGTACAGCCTGTGCTTTAAAGCTCGGGGTCTGAGCACCCTTTTCCCCTCTGGAGCTTCCCCCTTGAAAATCTACTCTTTAATGCTCAATAGGAGCAAATGTTAGTCCGTGGAAATACCAAACCAACATTCACTCTGATTGAGCAGGTTTTCACAGGGAAAGCTCTGGAGCAAAATAGGGGGGGGGGGGGGGGCGCAGTGGGACACAGAGCTTTAAGGTGCCAACCTGTGCCTGGAAAGAGTGGGGCAAAAGGTATGTATGGATAAGCCCTTAGTGTTTCCCATTCTTCCCCTTCACCCTCTGTGCAGCACAATGTTTGCCACCATTCTTAGGCTCTCATAGAAGTAGTCTGTTAAATAGCATTTTAGCCTGACCCAGGCTTTTCCAACCTAGTGCTGCCCAGATGTTTTGGGCTGCAAACTGCCATAGGACCTAGTCAGCACATCGTGCTGCCTGCAACTGATGGAAGTTGAAGTTCAAGAACATGGGCACATGAGCAGCTGGGATCTGAGGATGTGAGAGAGTATGCAAAAGAGGAAGAGTCCAGTGTTTTATAACTTTCACTTATTTCATTTCCTTCAGCTCAGCAGCATCAAGTTAGTATTTTCAGTTTCTTAGAAATAACACATTGTTACTCACATCACAAAAGAACAGGGTGAGCAACCACAGCCCTGGGGGCAAAATGTAGCTCTTCCTTCAGGCCCCTTGGTACTCACACCCCACCCCACCCCCCAGTTTACACACCCTCTTACATGGCAAACTGTGTCATATATTAGCAAAAAACAACGGGAAGAAAATTGCATTGCAGTGTTCACTGTCATACATTATCATCTCTATTTTTCATCATGGGCCAGTTTTGGCGTTGTCACACTCCCTGCAAATGTTGCAGTTTGACTCTGCCCTTTGCAGATGTCATTTTATTGTTATTGTTTTCAGCTTATTGAGATCATTTTCAAATGGCGAACCAGGAAAATTTACATGTGAAGGGTAGGCCAAGGGGACAATGTGGAAACTTGTTCCTGGGATCCAGATGCTACTGCCTGGAAGTCTGCTAGCGTTTGTATATAGTAGGTGGAATTCAGGAAATTAAAACTCATATCCAGAGCTGCTGCTCTGTGCAGGAATGCTCTTCGTTTCATGGTCAAGGCTCTCTCACTACATTTGCATTTCAATCTTTCCTGTTTCTCATCCCAAGAGTTATTGCTGAAAGTTATTTTGGTTAATTTTAGAAAATGAAGCTGAATCTTTGATATTCCTATTTTATCCTGAGATGCTAACACTTTACCAGCCTAGTGGCAAACTTTCTCTACATACACAGAATGTTTGTTTCAACAACAGGGTAATACTTGATATACATTTTCAAGCAACAGAAACCAAATGAATTTCCCCCCCCCCTTAAAGTTTTCACAGTAGGACAATTCCTAAGACATCTCTTTGAGCCTCAACGTTGTTCATGTTATGAAGTTAGATTTTCATTGGCAGTCTTCAAGAGAGGGGGGAATCCTAGCCATAAAATTAAACTTTACTAACACTTTTAAAGCAAATTATTCCTTATGGTCCTCTTCCAAAGCACCTTGATAGGAGTACATACTAAGACTTCTCCATTCATTTCAATGAATAAATCGACTAAAATGAATGGAGAAGCCTTTGCACACGTGAGAGTTCTGAGAGTGCATTTCATAGGATGGCTGCTATTGCAACCCGTGCCATTTGACAGATGACCCTTTGTCAGCAAAGTGGCAACAATACTACGGAGTCAACATTGCTGTAAGCATAACCATGCATCATCTGCGGCATGAACCATAATAGCAGCAGGGCACGCCATGTTGCATAGCAGAAATAAGCAAAGCCATCTTGCAAAGATGCCACAGAGCAAAACTAGGAATTATTCCCCCATAGGTCTCTCTTCCATCACTAAACACACCCTCACTGGTACAACGCCTTACAAAAACAGACCAAAGATCTATCTAGCCTGCCAGGCAATAGTCGTCTCCTGTTCTGGTTCCTCACTGACTTCAAACCTCAAGGTATATAGGCATCATGACTGGTAGCAAGTGACAGCCCGATTCTCCATGAATTTGTCTAATTCCCTTTCAAAACCATCAAAGTTGGTGACCACCACAATGCTTGTGGTAACAAATTCCATAATTTAACTGTGTGTATTTGACTACTCAGCTTCATTGGAAGACCCCATGTTTTGATATTGTGGGAGGGCCCATTTTCTCTACACCATAAATACCTCTTAATGTAGTCTCTATTACTCATCTTTTTTCTAAACTATAAAGGACCAAGCTATGTTATTTCCTCTTGCAGAAGAGTAGCTCATAGAATTGCACAGTTGGAAAGGCTCCCAGGGGTCATCTAGTCCAAACCCCTTCAATGCAGCTATTTCCTGGCACCTGCTACATTATTCTTTTAAACTGGAGTCTGTAACTGGCACCTTCTACATGCAAAACATGCCCTCTTGCACTGAGATACAGTCCATCCCCATATTATAAAGATATCCTGGAGCTTTTGAAAACAGATCCCCATAAGCTTTAAGGCCTTTCCAGCGATGAAAAATAGGACAAGCTCAATTTGCAGCCCCAATAAAATGAACTGAATAATAAAAGGACGAGAACAAGTGTGTGTGTGTGTGTGTGTGTGTGTGTGTGTGTAAAGAGAAAGACATTTACAAATAGTGATGTACAAATTGCATGTCAAATACAATCACCCTGAAAATTCCTAAGTCAGTGCATTCACATAACTTACACAACTGAGAATTTTAAACTACAACCTTTTTTCAAACTGTGTGACATATTTCATAAAGGAGGCATTTAATGCCATCGTATTTGGAAACAAAAAAATACAGGTTTTAGCCTGTTGTGGTTCTCAGCTCTTGGAAGGCTCTTAAACCTAGCAGAAGTTTCCATGAACTGAGGGGGGAACAGAATTTGATGATTTGCCTTCCCTTTTGCAGCCCACTGTGCCCACCAGAAATCTGCTCCAGAATGTTGGAAGGCCCTCTGGAGCACTGCAGGAGGTGACCGGGGTGGGGGAGGTTATAAAAGAAAGGTGTGATTTGCAAAAACTCTCTTCCTCCCACCTCTCATTTACGGAAGCCTCCACTAAAGGGAAGAGCCTTCCAAGAGCAGACATACGTAACTGGATATAACCAACTGATGTATTTGTTACAGTTTCAGATTATTCTCTTGCCACTGCTTGGATCAATGCTTATAAAACTTCGTAGGGATGAGGTGAAGTGTCAGAAATTGTTGAAGGCATAACTGGATATCGGCAGCAAAGTTTAAAGCACACTTCCTGTGAGTGTTGATATGAATAAATTCGCATTGGTATGAAAAGGATGGTCAGGCCACAGGCCAAATGTGTCTGGCTCAGTGCTGATGTCCATCTGCTGGCGGTTGCAAATGTTTGGCTCTCCTCTAACATCTTTTCTCCTTCCTTTCTCCACCTACAGCAGCATACCCCAACCCCTCATCCCCTTCCCACCAATTAAATGCAGCCTGTGCATTTAAAATATCACCTGGTTAGCAGGCATGACAAGTAAGTAAATACGGGGATATGGAACAAGAGATTCTAAGTACAGCATATGACATAATCTAGTGCAATTTAGTCACTGCCTATTTTCCATAGGCAGCAATGGCCAACCCCGGTAAGTAGCAGGTAAGCAGTAGGGTTGGCCATTGCTGCCTATGGGAAATGAATGCCAGTTTCTTTCCAATCTATCATAAGAACCATCCTAATAAGCATGCAAAAGGAATTACCATCAACCCCACCCAGTATGGCTAATAGTCAGGGGTGATGGGTGCTATAGTCAAACAACATTAGGAGGGCCACAGGTTGTCCATCTAGGGCATGCTGCAGTCTAAAGGTGTACACTTCACCATACCAGTGGTTCAGTGGGAAAATATCTAAACATGTGCTGAAGCATCCCAATTGAAATCAGTGGAATCTGAAAGTTCACTTTGGCGTGATCAAGGCTAAAGTAGTGAGTAATCTATTGTACAATTTTAGTTCAGAAAACATCAGCTTGTTGCAATATTCATGATTAAATTATAATTAACAGAAAATGAATTTGGAATTCTTTTCCCATTGTATTTTGACAACACCAAAAGCAGAACAGACTAGACAGAGCCAAGGGAAAGGGAAAAAATGAAACTGTCTAAATCTGTTGTTTATGTTAGGATTTATGTAAGCCATGGTTGAGGTTATTAATATTTTATTTTATTTTTTAATTTATAATTTTCATTTATATACATTATAACAATTATTTAACCATAGTATTAATCTTTTCAAGTTTCGACTCCCTTTCCCCTCTTTCTGCGATTCCTTACATTTATTTTCATCCTTTCCTGCATACTTCAAATTGCTTTTAATCATCTGTTCTCATATATATATATATCTCATAGGTAAAGGTAAAGGGACCCATGAACATTAGGTCCAGTCGTGGCCGACTCTGGGGTTGTAGCACTCATCTTGCTTTATTGGCCGAGGGAGCTGGTGTACAGCTTCCGGGTCATGTGGCCAGCATGACTAAGCCGCTTCTGGCAAACCAGAGCAGTGCACGGAAACGCTGTTTACCTTCCCGCCGGAGCGGTACCTATTTATCTACTTGCACTTTGACATGCTTTCGAACTGCTAGGTTGGCAGGAGCAGGGAACAAGTAACGGGAGCTCACCCCATTGTGGGGATTCAAGCTGCCAACCTTCTGGACTTCCGGGGTGGCGCCATCGGTAATGGCGGATTCCCTCTGATCCGGAGGGACTGGCTCCACGGGAAACGGGTCTGTTCCGCTACGGCGAAGCGGGGACCCTCTAAAAATCACAGGCGGATGAAGCCTGTGACCATGGGACTCAGCAGGCACCTTTTGCGCCCCCCCAATTCGTAAAGGAACCCAATTACGGGCTCCGGAGCGAAGAGGGGCTAGTGGCGCGGTGCTGAGAGTCAACTGCTTCTTCCGTGGAGCGAAGCCGCACAGCCGTTGCCGGAGAGCGCTACCTTTTTCCTGGGACAATTTGGCTACAAAACAACTACCCGTGAGCAGATCAAATTTGGACAATTGGACTTTAAACAACGATCTGTGAGTAGAACGGAAAATTGGATTAAGAAATTCCTCTTAATTTGGCACTGAAGCGGGAAGGTCTAAACAGGAAGTCAGCCTTCCGTTTCTTGTAGATAGATTAAAGCAAAGACATGGCAAACTAGAGTGTAGAAAATCGTTTGTAAAGGATCAACTTTCATCATCTAAAATTACTGAACCCCCTTCGGAAGCAGGAGAAGAGGGGGGATTTTTTCCGGATTGCTTAAACCTGCAGAAGAGAGTGTAAGAAAAGTAATTTTCCACCGTCTTGAACCTGGGAGCGGGGTGTCAGGACAGACATTTTTGGGAAAGTTCATTGACTATAGACAAATGTTTTTGACAGATAGTTAAAAGAAGAGAAACATAGTGATCCCATTGTGCTCTTTCGCAATTTAAAGGAACAAATATTGACAAAATATCTGAAAAAGGAAACTTTGTTGTTAGATCTGCTGTTAAAAAAAAAAAAGAGTTGGATACAAATAGAAGTTCTTCCCCTAGAGGGAGCTTGTGAAACTGTTACTAAACTTGAACTGGGGAGCAGCTGCAACAGATTAAGATCGTGGGAATAGACTTCTGACCTTGTATAACAATGTGCTCAGAGGCTCTGGTGCGTGCTTTCTGTAAAACAAGTGCTTTATTGGAACAGTTACATGAGAAGACGGATTTGATGACTGTTGCGATCAGAAATTTTGGACAGGTAGTGGGTATCTATATAGAACCCACTCAGGAATCAAATCAGGAATGTGCTCTGACAGATCAGATGAAGGAGGAGGTTGTGGCTGGACCCCGAGAGGCAAAGATGGAGGGAACCGTGGCCCAGCAGGAACATGAGTGGTTGGACCTGACAAATGAACCTGGAAAAAGCCAGATTTGGAGAGATAGAGTCTTGTTTGGTTTGGAGATGGGGGACTGGATAGACCCCCCTATGCAGGGATGTTTTGACTTTTCAAGTCTGGCGTTGGGTCGGGAGGAGTTTGGAGTTGTGGGGGTCCTCAATTTTGGAGGGATCTTGAAAAATGTTTTTAAATACCACATGAAGTTCAGTGTGGACTATGGAAAAGGGGCTGATCTGTCGAGAAGGGATAAAAATACTGGCAAGCTGGAGTCTCCACGAGTGAAAGGAGCAGAAGACAAAGTAAAGTACAGGTATAAATATTCAGAAGATCTGCGGAAGGGACATGGAAGAGACTTAAGGGCCTCTGACATAAGGTTACCAGGTTAATGAACTAGATGGATGGGATAGAAAGGACTGACAAAACCCGTGACCAGGAGGAAGAGACGTTGGATGAAGATTGGAGAAAGTTTCAAAAATTCTATTTAGGAATGTTTTCTAAAATTAATGAGTATTAAAAAAATGTTGGAACGAAATTATTTGGCTTTAGCAGAAATGTTAAAAAGAACTATGCAAGAATATGTCATGGTTATGAGAAATTGGTATAGATAAGACTCAAGCTTTAAGTTTTAGGGTTTTTTATAGTAAGATAAGGTTAAAATAGATTAAGGTAATTTAATGACAGAATATTATGAAAAATGGGAAGGATTTGCTGTGATAATCAATAACTAGAATACAAAAAGGGAGGGGTGAGGAGGTCGATGAAATAAGGTAATGACAGTTAAGGATTTGGGAATATTGGATCTGTTTTTAAACTTTTGTGGTTTATTTTTGTTTTTTGATTTTGATGTGTTATGTGTTTTGTTTTTTGTTTTTTGCTTTTGATTTTTATCGACTTGTATTGTTTGATTGTGGTTTGTTTTTCCTTGCTTTTTTCTTCTTTTTTTCTTCTTGACTTTTCTGTAATCTTAAAATTCTTAATAAATATCATTTAAAAAACAACAACAAACAAACTGCCAACCTTCTGATCGGCAAGTCCTAGGCTCTGTGGTTTAACCCACAGCGCCACCCGTGTCCCATATATATCTCATATATATGTTTAAAACTACAGGTTTTCACAATAATCCTGCCAATGTCTTGAACTGTTTGCAGCTTGTTTGTAAATACTCAATAAACCACGTTCATTCCTTTCTAAAACGTTTGTTGTCTTGATTTCTTATTCTTCCAGTAAGTTTTGCTATTTCTGCATACTCCACTAGTTTCTGTATCTAATCTTCTTTTGTTGGTACTTCTATATCCTTCCACTTTGGGGCAAATAACATTTTTGCAGCTATAGTCGCATACATAAATAAATTTCTATATTTTTTGGGTAGTTCTAATCCTATAATTCCCAAGAGAAAAGCTTCTGGCTTTTTTTACTAATGTTATCTTAAACATCTTTTTCAATTCATTATATATCATCATTTCCCAGTAAGCTTTAACAAGACCACCACATGTGAAAAAGGTGCCCTCTTTTTCTTTACATTTCCAACACTTATTTGACTTTGATTTATACATTTTTGCCAATCTACTAGGTGTTAGGTACCATTTATATAGCATTTTCATATGATTTTGACTTAAACAATAACATGCTGTAAATTTTATATCTGTATTCTATAATCGTTCCCATCCTTCCATTTCTATATTATGCCTAATATCTATTGCCCAGTCTATCACTGAAGATTTCATTTGTTCGACCTTTGTCTCCCTACCCAACAGCATCTTGTACATTTTAGACATCACTTTAACATTACAATTTAAGATGTCTCTAATTGTGATAGTTGTTCCCCAAACCCCCACTTCATATCCTTTCTAAATATTTCGTTCAAATGATATTGTTACCATTTTGTTACCATTCCTGGTAAATCCTTAACCTCTTTTAATTTAAATTCTCCACCCTCCTCTCCTTTCTATAAGTCGCCCAACTTTCCGACATATTTTTCTTTTTCACTGCTATGGCTTCAAAGGTGAAAACCAAAGCGGTGTTTTAGTTTCCAATAAAAATTTGTATTTGTCCCATATTCTATACAAATTTTTCCTAATTATATTGTTTGTAAAACCTTTATGTACTTTCACCTTTTCATACCACAAATAAGCGTGCCAACCAAAAATATTATCGTGACCTTCCAAATCTGGGGTTGTTATTGTTGTAGGGTTTGTTTGTTTTTTGCCTGCTACGGGCTTATAAAGTATTACTTATAAAGGCAAACAAATATTCCAAATCCCCTAAAATATCACTGGCAGTGTCTTCTGAATTTTATTGACTCCAAATGTTGCCATTCTATAACCATCAAGTGTGCAAAGGTAAAGGAAGTGTGATTGTTTCTACAATTTTTAGTCTTAGACCAAAGATTCCCCAGACACATTTCCCTGCATGTCCACGTCCATTAAAACCTATGCACATGCACCTGTGAAACAGATGACCAGCACAGTTGGTGAAGCTCTGAGAGTGCCCGTCACCTGTTTGAAGGATAGGCTAGATTTGGTCCTCTTCTCCCTAGAAGGAACCAGTGCTTTCAACCTCGCCATGCTGATGCCATCAGGGATGTATACTGGACTGAGTCAGAACATACCAGCATTCAGCCATAGGTGCCATACACGGAAGATTTTTACAGTGCGCAGCAAAAGCTGCAAGGAATGTGACCCAGCAAAGAAAACAGTATGTGGAAGCTGCTCCAGGCACATTACCTCTGCTAGATAGCAGTGAGAGTCGGGGTTCTTATCAATGTTACGCAATATCATAGTTATTACCCTCAGGTTTTATTAAATCAGAAATCCATAAATACGTGAAAAGAGCAGAGACATCACCTCTTTACAAACTTGCCAGCTTGGAAATATAAAAAAGGTGGGGGGAGAACAGCCAAACAGAAGTAAAGTGTTTCATAAACTAAACTGTGTTCAGGCAATGAAGCATACCTGTGTTCAGGCTGTCAACAATTAAAGTTAATCACCGTTTTCTTATCGCTGTTAAGATTCATATAGAAAAAAATGAAACAAAAACCCAAGGAGAAAAGATCAAGGCAGGAAAACATAGGGACAGTGGCATATAGAAGAAGTTAGATCTAACAATTCGCCAACAAAGAAATTTACTTGCTAAATACAGTATATGCTTCGCTCTATGGACTCAGTAGTCCCCTAAAAAGAAAGCGACTTCATAATTTTAAAAATACATAGATGAAAAAAGATGCTCAAAACCTGGAACTGTAAAATGAAAAAGTAGAGATGAAGAAATTTAAGGTATATAAACCCTAATTTTTCCACTGCTACGCTGGACTTCCAAATATGATAGCAAACTGGAACATCTGTTCATATTTGATCTCTTAGCAAATAATACTTGGAATTGTGGAATGCTTAAACAGTAAAACTGCAAATCAGTAAAATGGTTTCAGTTGCAACTGTAATAACCCATATTGCAAAATAAACTTCAGTATACTTCAGTGATGATGGTGATGGGAAGACATCCCAAATTCTACACGCTCTTACTGTCCATGTATAATGGACCTGAAAAAGTTAGCCAAGCATTGCTCAAACTGCCTTGGCAATGAATAAAGAGGAAATAATAAACTTGAAAAAGGGATTTTGTATTTTAGCCCATATTTGTGTCTCCCAGGCAAGCTGGTATTAAGGGTCACTTCCCATGTACGGAGAAAACAATTTTTGTGGATAATAATGATAAAACCTTATGGAATGCAGCAACAACCAAAAAATGTATTCTCAGATGACTGCATTGGGGCCAAGTCAATATTAGTCCCACTTCACCCACGCACAAGCATAGTCTAAAAATGCTGTCAGCCTGATAAGAATTTCCTGATTTACTTTGTTACATCAGATTCTTAAGTTAAAGGGTAAAAACAGCCCTTGCCGCTTTACTAGAAGAACAAGATGTTTGACTGTCTTTAAACAACAACAACCCTCTTCTCCTTTAGATCTGCAAAAGAACTTAGTACTTTAAAACAGCACTGTAACAAAAAACAGTATTGGGGCTTGTTTTATCAAGTGAGGTGTCCTGCACACCAATTAGACATACTGTGCAACTTGGTGAATGTTTACTCAGAAGTAAGTTATACTGTGTTCAGTAGGACATAGTACACGTGTCCAGGATTGCAGCCATAGTAATAATATGCAGAAAGTACAACTAGGCCATTGTTATAGTTGATTACAATGAATTATGCTTGGTATAGAAATAACACTGTTTACACCCACAAAGCAATGCTCTCAATTAAAAACCCAAATGAAGCAATTAAAACAGTAAAGGCAGTAAAGGTTGCAATCCTATACAGGCTTAATTCCCAATGAAGTTAATAGGGCTTACTTTTGAGTTGACCTGTGTAGGATTACTGAAAGGCTTGTGGCACCTCAGTGTAACAGATTTGTTGCAGCATAAGTTTTTGTGTAGTAGAGCCCACTTTATCAGATACATCTGATGAAGAGGACTTTCTTTAGTTCACAAAAGTGTAAACCCAAATTAATCTGGTAGTCGTAAAGTACCACAAAACTCTTCTGTTGTACCTTTTGCTCCAACATACAGACCCATTTAACTCACTGCAATTACGAAAATGACTTTCTGGCTATGCTCTTGAACGGGGCAACACCTACAACTGACCAGGATAGCAAGTTTAAGGAGCGCACATTTACTTGGAAGTAAACCCTTACATACCACAATCCCAAATTACATTGTATGGACAGGAAGATCTCCCTCCAAAGCAGCTGTGTTCCGAGTATGTCTGTTAGAATCAACGAGACCAACTCGCAAACAAACAGATCTCGCAATCCATCCCATTGTACTTAGAAATAAGTTCCGTGAAAGCAATGGAGCTTGCTTTCGAAAGCATACCTTCAGAAGTCAGAGCACAAATGCAATCTTCCTTAAGGGCACCATCCCAGCACTAATTCAGAATTCGGGGGGTGGGAACCAGATGAGCAAAACCAAGGTGCGATGATCCAGCGCCCCAAACGTGTCTGCGCCCAGCGATCTCGTCAGGCGCCATGCCTAAGTAACGCGGACGAGCTTTCCTCCGCTTTCCCGTGGGCAACTTTGGCCAGGACTCAGCCCTGCGCGATCTTTTCTAGGAGCAGGGCCGAGCGCCGGGGCTGCCCTGGCCCTCAGGTGCCGGAGGACGGGCGCAGGCGGCCGATGAGAAGCGCTTCCTGCTTACCTGGCGAGGCTCTCGCAAGCCGAGTGGCTGTCAAGAAAGCGAGCCCCGCAAGGGTCACTCGGCTGGAATCCAGAAAAATACATACATTCCAGACCCTGGGGTCCAAAGCCGTCTCAAGTATATTCACACGCACGCCCAACTTTCCCCGCTCTAGCGCGCGCTTTTAAGACGCACAGACACGCGTCGTCGAAGTCCAGACGTTCACCTCTCTCATTGCCGCCTTTCCCCTTCCAGACCCACTTCCTCACAGTCACGAGCAAGGGAGGTAACACGCCAGAGGGAGCAATCCTGCCGGCACCACTAAAGGACACCGTCCGTCGAAGAAGTCTGTTTCCGCTATCTGAGCTTCTGGAAAGTGCCAAGAAACTTCCGCGTCAGATCCTAAGGTGACTTGGAGCGCCTCTGCTGCTACTTTCAGGGAGCGGGAGGTCGTGAAAACCCGCTCCGTCTAGGTCCCAGTCGCCGCCGGACACTCTCACGCCCCACACCCCTGACCCCCAGGTGTGCTCTCTGTTCACAGGCCGGCGCGCCTGACATTCCCCCCCTCGGCTGGGGCTCGGTCCCCCTCTCCGCCACCCCGCCCAGGTACACACATACACACGTGGTGGCAAACAGCCCCGATGCCTTGTCTGTCACAAGTAGCGACAGGCAGCGTGTGCCGCACCCAAGGGAATGTATGTGCCTGCGACGTGGGAGAGACAAAGCGGGCGTCTGTGCGAGAAAGAGCGGGTGACCGTGAAGAAGGACATAAACATTCCTAAGATACGAGGAGTGACGCACATCGACGTTTATGTCAACACGCGCTTAGAGGCACAAATACTCAAGGCACAGGTCGTCGCACGCGCTTAAGACATCGCGCACGCTGGAGCCTCGTTCACACGTGCATCACCCGCTGACCGCTGCATCCGTCACTCGCACATACTGAAGTCAGGGCCATGAGCTGGCGACCTGGCTCGCAAGTATGTCAGGTTCATCACAGACACGTGTAAAACCAGCGGGAGAGTCGCTCGGAGAAGCGGCTCTCTTCATCCAAACTGAGCCGCCCCGTCTGTTCTTCTCCCACCCCGCTCCTAGAATGGAACCTGCCCCGCCTCCTGCGCGTCCGGCAAGGGTCTCACCTGCTGGCTGTGCGCGAAGGGCGGCGCAGGCAAGGCGCCGGGGGCGGCGGGACCCGCAGCTACGGCGCCGGGCAGCTTGAGCTGGGGCGGGCAGCACGTCGCCTGCGGCTGGTGCCTCACCACGTCGGAGCAGCTCATGGCAGCCGCCGCGGGACCGGCTAATGCCAGCGTCCGGAGAAGCGGGAGCCGAGCCTTCCAGCCACCGGTGCCGGTCGCCGCGCTGCCTTCTCCCATCCGGGCTCGGGCGCGGAGCCTCGGGCTGCGGAGGCCAGTGGCGGAGGCGCCGTCATCTTCGGGAGTCTCGGGGAGCCGCCGCGGCGCTTAAATAGAAGCCGGGTTGCCTTGGGCGGAGGAGGCAGCGCAGCCCGGGGAGGCAGAGCAGGGGCAGCACGCCTCCGCCGCCCTGATTATCATAGACACAATGAGGGGCTGTCGCGCTCTGCCAATAGCTGCCCGGGCGCGGGGGAGCCGCGGCCCAACTTGGCAAACTCCGCCCCGCCGCCTTCGGATTGGCTAAAAGTTGGTGTCCGGACAGAGCGGGCTGGGAAGGGGATTGGCCGAGAAAGAAGGCGCGGAGAGAAAAAAGAAGGCGCCGACTCCGCCCCTTTTGCCGCGTGAGTTTCCCACGTCGCCCGGGAAGGCAGCGGCGCCTGGAGAGAACGAGGGAGGCGTTTGGGAAAGCGAGGCAACTGATGCGCGGGAGAAGAAGGGGAGACGAGCTTGGCAACTGGGATCGTGGTGACAGAGCGGCTTGGTCAGGGACCTGGTCGGTAAGGGTGTAACTGGAGATGAGGTGAAAGAAAGTGTTGGGGAAAGGGGGTAGGCAGGTCGCCAAAGACCCTTCATCTGAGTCCCTGTAATTAAGGGTTTTAATTAGACAATATGAGCCCTGCCAGTGCTTTTTTTCTTGAAATATATTTAGGGATAGTCTCATTTTGACTCAAGAAAATCAACATTTTTTAGTTCAAATCGGGGAAAATAAATACAGTAAATGGACAAAAGTACAAAGATTCACAAAATGTTTAGGGATATGCATACCCCTGTGTCCCCCCAGGAAAGAAAGCACTGGGTCCTGCTATCTCAAGACATTTTGGCACCTCAGTTGAAGATCTGCATCAGGAACAAGGGTGGGAAGAGACCAGCAGCGCCTCCTATTGGCCAGCAGGGCGGCAGCAGCAGCAACAACAGGTGTTGCATTCCTTGGAGCACAGATCTGTTGCCACAGTAGATCTTGCCACCTGAGGGGATTGCCTCACCTTACCTCATGGGTGTGTTGGCCCTGTCATGAAGAATTCCAGAAAAGCTCTTCTTCTTCCTCATTTCTGCATAATAAGGAGATATTTTGCTTGGCATTTTTAGTATTCATTTACCCAAAGAACATCTTTCTTTTCTGTTCAGGATTCCTGTTCCTCAGCTTGCAAACTTGCCATTAAAAGAGGTAAGAGACGATACAGTATCTTCCCTTAAATGTTTCACAGTAATTTCAAAAAGCAACATTGTTCTTCACTGAATGCAAGCAGAATATAAACTGGGAAGCAGCACTCGGAAGGAGCCTTATTTTGTATCCAAATGCAAGAACAAGTTTGCACATGCTAACCCAAAGCAGCGTTTAGTGAGAACAAGCAAAAGTGGGTGAAGCAGCTTTCTCCCTCCCTGCCAGTCTTGTTGCGATTGCACTACCAAGGGCTAAGCCACATTTTGCTTTAGCATAAGGTCCAAACACAGACTGTAGCTAAGGTTGGTTACTGGTTTACACTAATCGTTCCTCTGTGAGCCCGCGTTTAGATGTAATACTTAGCCAAGTGTAACACAGCAGTATCAGGACTGGGAGAGGGATGTTGGAGCCACAATCTTCACTCTGGGAGCCATCCTGTTTACATGTTCACGCTAAGGCCTGATCACGTGCAAACTTGGCCTCACTGAGACAGTGGCATTGTCCTCAATATACAAAACTGAAATTCTGCATCATCTGTGCAATGTGATGAACCAAACTTGTAGCTTCCAAATTCAAGCTTTTTCACTGCTGCACACTTGTCAGAACTTCAGACTGAAGATTATGCTGATCTATAAGGACATAACATGAATAATTTAAACAAACCCTTTCCATACAAAATTAAGATAATGTATGCTTTCTCATCTGTCTCCTGAAAAATCTCTATGTGGGACAAGAAGCTACAGTTAGAACTGGATATGGAACAACTGATTGGTTCAAAATTGGGAAAGGAGTACGACAAGGCTGTATATTGTCTCCCTGCTTATTTAACTTATATGCAGAATTCATCATGCGAAAGGCTGGGCTGGATGAATCCCTAGCCGGAATTAAGATTGCCGGAAGAAATATCAACATCATCAGATATGCAGATGACACAACCTTGATGGCAGAAAATGAGGAGGAATTAAAGAACCTTTTATTGAGGGTGAAAGAGGAGAGCGCAAAATATGGTCTGAAGCTCAACATCAAAAAAACGAAGATCATGGCCACTGGTCCCATCACCTCCTGGCAAATAGAAGGGGAAGAAATGGAGGCAGTGAGAGATTTTACTTTCTTGGGTTCCATGATCACTGCAGATGGTGACAGCAGCCACGAAATTAAAAGACGCCTGCTTCTTGGGAGAAAAGCAATGACAAACCTAGACAGCATCTTAAAAAGTAGAGACATCACCTTGCCAACAAATGTTCGTATAGTAAAAGCTATGGTTTTCCCAGTAGTGATGTATGGAAGTGAAAGTTGGACCATAAAGAAGGCTGATCGCTGAAGAATTGATGCTTTTGAATTATGGTGCTGGAGGAGACTCTTGAGAGTCCCATGGACTGCAAGAAGATCAAACCTATCCATTCTGAAGGAAATCAGCACTGAGTGCTCACTGGAAGGACAGATCCTGAAGCTGAGGCTCCAATACTTTGGCCACCTCATGAGAAGAGAAGACTCCTGGAAAAGACCCTGATGTTGGGAAAGATGGAGGGCACAAGGAGAAGAGGACGACAGAGGATGAGATGGTTGGATACTGTTCTCGAAGCTACCAGCATGAGTTTGACCAAACTGCGGGAGGCAGTGGAAGACAGGAGTGCCTGGCGTGCTCTGGTCCATGGGGTCACGAAGAGTCGGACACGACTAAACGACTAAACAACAACAACAACAATGCTTCCTCATTTCCAGATATGTCCCTTGTACGGCCATCAGAGCATTTTTGCTAAGATTATGTAAATTCCTCCAAACTGAAAGCGAATGGGAGTTCAGTAAGACTTAAGTGATTTAAGAAGGCTCAAACACTTCCCCATTTCTGTCAGGTGATGTTCTACTCTGTGCAGGGCAGCTGCAATCTTACAGGTCTTTTTATGTTTGTCCTTTTATTTATTATAATTATAGGGTTAGAAATAAAGCATTTTTAAAAAATAAAAAAGCATATAAGCTAATATTTTTTATTCTAGAACGTCAGAAATAAAATCAGTTTCTCACAAAATTGTTGTTTGCCTCATTTGCTGCTTCTCTCGCTTTTATGCAGTTTTATTACTGACATTTTTGCCCTGTTCAACTATGAAGCATGAATAGGATAGGGTGGCCTTTACTCACATGAAAGTTTCGTATTTAAAAGTCCCCGATCTTCCTGCACTGTATGGGGGAAAGTCCTTTGAGGACTTTTATCCATTGTCTCTTGAACATCAGGAGAAATCTCCACATGGCTGGGGACGCTGCTTTATTGGGGTCCCCAATTGGAAAGAGGCTTACTTTATTACTTATTTCGACTACACACACTCTCTCTCACACACACAAACATAGGCAATGTACTGAAAACAAAAACAGCTACAGACAACTTAAGAACAAATGTTACAAAAATACAGACAGTACCCGTGAAAATGCTGCATTCATACAAATTACTGATAAATATAGAAGAATATCAATTCTGCTTCTGACACACACCCTGCATAATGCAGTGATAGGGCTACAAGGATTAAGACACTCTGGGAGATGATTCATAATGAAATGAAAAAGGTATTTAAATATACCCTTTTGAAGAAACCAGAGGCCTTTCTCCTGGGCATAGTCGGCCAATTGGTGTTAAAGAAGGATAGAATTTGTCTCATGTATGCAACAATAGTAGCAAGAATACTCATTGTGAAGTACTGGAAGACACAAGATTTATCTATCCAGGAAGAATGGCAGATGAAGTTGATGGACTATATGGAATTGGCGGAAACGACTGGCAGAAATCCGAGACCAGGGAGAAGAGTCGGTGGAAGAAAACTGGAAAAAGTTTAAGACTATGTATAGAAATATTGTAAAAATAATGAATGTTAGAAAAATGTTGGATTGAAGGTATATGGCTTTAGTAGAAATGTTATAAGGAATTAAGTATAAATAGAAATAGAGTATTAAAGGGAAAAATAAGATTAGAATATGTTAAGATAATTATAGGATAGAAAACAGAGGAAGATGGAAAGGAATTGCTGAAACAATTAATAGAAGTGGAATACAGAAAGGGAGGCGTGAGGAGGTCGTGGAAATAAGGGAATGAAGGTTAAGATATTGAAATTGTTTTGTGTTTTAAATGGTTTGTGTCTTGTTTTGTTAATCTTATGTTTTTTCTCTTTTTTTTCTTTGCTTTTTCTTTTCTTTTTTTGTTTTTTCTGTTCTATTGTGTTCAAATGGTTGGAAAATCAATAAATATTATTTTTTTTAAAAAAAAACATAATGCAGTGATAGGGCTAATATCTGGTACACTGCAGGGTTAAAGAAGGAAAGGACAGAATAGTTAGATAAGGAAAATGGGAGAAAGAAGGGTTTCTGCCCACCTAACCACCTTAAAAAGAAAAAGGTCCTTCTCACACGACCACCCTCCTCTAACAATGGACCATTCTGTCTTTGATCCTTTGCCCCCAAACTCCCAGAGTGTGTAACTTATGCCCACTGATTTCATTTTCCTTCTCTGGGGCCTGGCTTTGGGCTCTATGCCCAGACATTTTGCTGGTGCTGCATGTTGTCTTTGGGCACCAGGTAAACCCCTTTTCATTTCCCCATAAATGATTTATTTATATCACAGTATTCAAATAGCTGCTGCATAACAGAAATTCTTGGGGTGGATCACAATGCAAAATAGGAAATAAAAAACAATATAATATTACAACATAGCACAAAACTGTAGCAAAAAAAATATCGTTTTTAGAAAACAAAGCACTAAACCAAGAGACTCAGACTGTGAAATATTTGCTGTTTTAAAGAGGTGCTGCCAAAAAGAAGGCTCTTCAAAACTGGGGTGCCTCTGCCAAGAAGGTCTCATGCTGCTGGTGATCAGTCTTATTTATCAGACAGAAGCACCTGGAGAAGGGTCCTCTCTAGAGGGTCTTGATGTTCAGGTTGAAAGAAGATGATCTTTCAGATAAGTTGGTCCCAAGCAGTTCAGGGCTTCAAATTGAGACTCAAAATTGCCTGGGAGCCACTGTAGCTGACAAAGCAGTAGCACTGGTGTAATATGGTCAAGCCACGCAACTCCAGTTAATAATCTTGTAGCCCTATTCTAGACCAAATGCAGTTTTCAAATCATTTTCCAAGGCAGCTGTTCTGCTCTACTTTAATATAATTGATTTTTATGTCTTTTTTTTTTAAGGAATGTGCTGTTAAAAGAGCAGAGTATTAAAGTTACTAGTCTTAATAGAGTTAGTAATTTTCAAAGTAGACCCACAGAATTAAAGAAGCCTAAGTTAGTCATACTCGTTAATTTCAATGGTCCTGCTCTTGAGTATGTCTAACGTTAGCTACAACCCAATAGAAAGATGCTTGCTGTTGCTTTCACAATGAAAGATAATATAGACTTTTATATTGTATTTTATATCAATTTTACAACAATGCCAATCAGAGCACGTTTGAGCAAGGTGAGAAAATGTCTGGGACTGGGTTCTCTTTCTGCGCATGCACTGCTTATCTTTATTTTCTTATTTCCATTAGGCTGCAGCATAGATGGGGAGTCCATTAATGGAGAGAT